AGTAGGATAGTCAGTTTTACGAGGGCATGTTTGGCAAGCTGCTTACCTATTGCAGATTCAGTCTTCCCAGCCTGGTGCAGGTCTACAATTTTGTTTCTGGTGTCCTTTGACAGCTCTTTGGTCTTGGCCATAGTGGAGTTTGGAGTGTGACTGTTTGAGGTTGTGGACAGGTGTCTTTTATACTGATAACAAGTTCAAACAGGTGCCATTAATTCAGGTAACGAGTGGAGGACAGAGGAGCCTCTTAAAGAAGAAGTTACAGGTCTGTGAGAGCCAGAAATATTGCTTGTTTGTAGGTGACCAAATACTTATTTTCCACCATAATTTGCAAATAAATTCATTAAAAATCCTACAATGTGATTTTCTGGAGAAAAAAAATCTCAATTTGTCTGTCATAGTTGACATGTACCTATGATGAAAATTACAGGCCTCTCTCATCTTTTTAAGTGGGAGAACTTGCACAATTGGTGGCTGACTAAATACTTTTTCCCCCCACTGTACTGCATTCTATTCAATAATATTCTACTGTATCTTAGTCCATGCCACTCTGTCATTGTTTGTCCATATATGTATATATTATTAAATCCCATTCCTTACTAGTTTTGTGTGTATTGGGTATATGTTGTGAAATTGTTAGATATTACTGCACTGTCGAAGCTAGAAGCACAAGCATTTCGCTACACCTGCTATAACATCTGCTAAACACGTGTATGTGACAAATACAATTTATTTGATTTGATTTGATTTGAACAACAGCATGACTGCTTGGTTAGGGGAAGGAGGGGTCAATAGAAAGAGAGTGAAAGGGAGAGACAACGAGATTCAACTTATCGTTGTTACATTTGGAAACCACTGCTCATTCGGATAAGAAATGCAATGCAATGCTTTGCAGCTCCTTCAGGGTTATCTTTGGTCTCTTTGTTGCTGCTCTGATTAATGCCCTCCTTATATAGTAATATAATATAATATGCCATTTAGCAGACGCTTTTATCCAAAGCGACTTACAGTCATGCGTGCATACATTTTTGTGTATGGGTGGTCCCGGGGATCGAACCCACTACCTTGGCGTTACAAGCGCCGTGCTCTACCAGCTGAGCTACAGAGGACCACACCTCCTTGCCTGGTCCGTTAGTTTTGGTGGGCGGCCCTCTTGGCTGGTTTTTTGTGGTGCCATATTCTTTCCATTTTTTTTTATATAATGGATTTAATTATGCTCCTTTGGATGTTCAAAGTTTCTGATAAAAAAAATGTATAACCCAACCCTGATCTGTACTTCTCCACAACTTTGTCCATGATCTGTTTGGAGAGCTCCTTGGTCTTCATGGTGCCCCTTGCTTAGTGGTGTTGCAGACTCTGGAGCATTTCAGAACTGAGATCATGTGACAGATCATATGACACTTAAATAAAGTCCACCTGTGTGCAATCTAACTAATTGTGACTTCTGAAGGTAATTGGTTGCACCAGATTTATTTAGGAGCTTCATAGCTAAGGGGGTGAATACATATGCACGCACCACTTTTCCGTTATTTAGTAAAACGTTTAGTTCACTATTTTGTGTATGTCCATTACATTAAATCCAAATTAAATTACAGGTTGTAATGCAACAAAATAGGAAAAATTCCAAGGGGGATGAATACTTTTGCAAGGTACTGTAAGTAACATCATAAAGAAATACCCACCAAAATCCGTCAGTTTTAGCTAGAGATCTGTTTTTTTGCATGGGCTGCATCTCAATCCACCACGGCCTTCCGCATCTACGGTGGAAGTTGGCCAAGCTACAACAGTGTTTGTCAGACCATGAGACATCCTAAAAATCGGTCTTCTCACGAAAACATCTGTAGCGTCCGAACGGTTTGGCCTACAAATCTATTATATTACTACCACTCTATGGAAAGGGGAAACTCACGAACACGACACCCACAGGTTTAACGGGACTCGTCTGAAGGTAACCCATACAAACAAATGGAAGTATGGAGGTAGTTTTGTGCCAACAGAAATAAGCAGTTCAATTTGTGTAATACAAATATTTGTGGGCAGAACTGAAAAAGCAAACCTGGCCTACAAACCTGACTCAGTTACACCAGCTCTGTCAGGTGGAATGGGACAAAATTCACCCAACGTATTGTGGGAAGCTTGTGGAAGGCTACCCGAAACATTTGACCCAAGTTAAACATTTACATTTTACATTTTAGTCATTTAGCAGACGCTCTTATCCAGAGCGACTTACAGGAGCATTTAGGGCTAAGTGCCTTGCTCAAGGGCACATTTACATCATTTAGCAGACGCTCTTATCCAGAGCGACTTACAAATTGGTGCATTCACCCTATAGCCAGTGGGATAACCACTTTCCAAATTGTTTTATTTATTTATTATTGATTTGTTTTTAAATTTTTATTTGTTTAAAAAAAAAAAAAAAAATCTGTTATTTTTTTTGGGGGGGGGGGGGTAGAAGGATTACTTTATCCTATCCCAGGTATTCCTTAAAGAGGTGGGGTTTCAAATGTCTCCGGAAGGTGGTGAGTGACTCCGCTGTCCTGGCGTCGTGAGGGAGCTTGTTCCACCATTGGGGTGCCAGAGCAGCGAACAGTTTTGACTGGGCTGAGCGGGAACTATGCTTCCGCAGAGGAAGGGGAGCCAGCAGGCCAGAGGTGGATGAACGCAATGCCCTCGTTTGGGTGTAGGGACTGATCAGAGCCTGAAGGTACGGAGGTGCCGTTCCCCTCACTGCTCCATAGGCAAGCACCATGGTCTTGTAACGGATGCGAGCTTCAACTGGAAGCCAGTGGAGTGTGCGGAGGAGGGGGGTGACGTGAGAGAACTTGGGAAGGTTTTTAAAGGCAATGCTACCAAATACTAATTGAGTGTGTAAACTTCTGACCCACTGGGAATGTGATGAAATAAATAAATAATTATCTCTATTATTCTGACATTTCACATTCTTAAAATAAAAGTGGTGATCCTAACTGACCTAAGACAGGGAATTTGTACTAGGATTAAATGTCAGGAATTGTGAAAAACTGAGTTTAAATGTATTTGGCTAAGGTTTATGTAAACTTCCGACTTCAACTGTAGTATTTCATTAGGGAGATGAGAATAATTGGTACGATTTAGACCTTCCCTGTCTCTGGTCCACGCTCCAGTCCAGTTGGTGGCGGTAATGCTCCTTAAAGTTGGTTGCCAACAGCCATATAAAATCCACAGAAGAAGAAAAAGAAGAAGAAGAAGAAGAAGAAGAATAAGCTGTATCGAAATGGCGTGAAAAGAGTGTATCCCAGAATGTGTGACTCTACCAGAGATATTAGAGAAAGGAGGCGATTAGAATCCCATTGGGCTATGAATGGAGGAAAGTATAACGCCTCACCCAGCAGACTGATGATGACAGACCAATCATGTTCACGTTGTCATGCTGCGTCACGCAATTGCTAAACTAATCGTCAAGCAATCCCTTCTTAAACTAATCGTCAAGCAATCCCTTCTTAAAAAAACAAGCTCAAATCATGACGTTAGTGATCTTCAGGTCGGAAAGTTGGAGCTCTAGAAAATGCCAGAGTTTCCGACTCGGATGACCGTTCACTCCTTGAAGGAGAGCTCTCCTTGCTCAGAATTCACCTCACGGCCCATTGACGATGCATGGGTAACATACACAGTGGGCGTTATGCCGCATTCATGTGCTAGTCGGAACTATTGTAGGAAACTCTGACATTTCCGACTTGCTAACTGGTTGAACACGGCACGTGTATAACTACAACCAGTTAGCAAGTTTCCTAGTTCTCGATTTGTAATTCTGAGTTGGATGACCGTTCAAAACGTATTTTCCCAGTCGGAGCTCGTTTTTCAGAGTTCCCAGTTGTCTTGAACTCACTGAAGTCTGAGTTTCCAGTTGTTTTGAGAGCGGCAGAAGTCATGCTGGATTGACAGCATGGCCAATGTTGAATGTTTATCCTTTTACATTTGGAAAAGAGACCATTAATCCCAGATTTGGACCACACACCCACTCCACTGAATAACAGGCTAGTGATTGCTTTGCAATGATTGCAGTTAGCCACTGATTCCTTCCAAACCACTCACTGTTTAATTTGCGATTTCCAACTTGTGTAACGTTTATGTCCAATGGCCGATGAGGACCGATACGTTTTATCTATAATTTATCTTCCTTATTTCTCTTCATATGACAAGGATGACAGTATTTTATTTGAGAGGTTTATTAATATCTAGACCAGCATTCCAAAAGGAGCCTAAGCGATTTCTATTTATAGTACATTAGCATATCACTTACATTACATAATAATAACTTGAAGCATTTATCAAGATACCCAAGGACACGTGACAGTAAAAAGTAGAATTGTTTAGGTGGTGCACCAGTGGTATGCTAGTGTGGATGTTGGAACTGAGCCCATCTCCCTCTACCGGGATCTCTTCATTCATTCTTTTTTTTGTATTATATATATATTTTTTAGGTATTTTGTGACTTTAATGAACAGATAGAGGATGACAGTGGGGAAATATAAAGAGGTTGTGTCAAAGGGCAGTAGGTGCAATTTCAAAATTGTGTAGAGTTTTCCTCTTGTCATGTCAGTCATTGCATACCTTCGAGCAATGTATAACTTGTCCAGATCAACGAGCTGGATGTTCCAAATGCTGGAAGGGGGGCCTGAGTGAAAAAGCTTGGGAAACCCTGACCAGGCCACACTTGATTCATTCTAACATCTAGGACAGTCAGGAGTAGGGTTGCTAAGGGAGGGTATATTACTGGAAACTTTCTAAATTCACCAGTAAACTACCAGAATATGGGTATCTTTCAAGGATTTTATGTATTCTATCACAAGACATCTAGTGGCCCTTTAGGGTACTTCAGATTATCACAGGTGTCTGTAATAGTCTCCAGCTCCAGTGTGGCTTTATGACATGTAAAACATATGAAATAACTGAATACGAGTTTAAAATGAAAAATAAAATGAAAAAGCTGTAACACATTATCCTAAATATAAACCAATAGTTGGAAGAGTTGCAGAGTTAATTGAAAAGAATGGCATTGTTGATTAGAGGCTTTTTTTCATTAATTAGGCTATTTTCTCTTGAACCATATGGTTTATCTACTAGACACTCATGGACAAATATAAATGAATACTATGAAAGTTATAAGTTTAAATGACCAAAGTTACGATAGATTGCCATAGAATCAGTTAATTACCAGAATTACTGAAGTTTCTGGTAACGTTGGTAAATTATCAGTAGCTTTGCATCCTTAGTAAGGAGTTCTTCCTGACCACAACTATCCCAGAGTTGGTCCTGGTCAGAAGACATTGTCAGGAAAACCTCTTGGCCCTTTTCATGAACATTGAACCTCTAACTGGCCTGTGAATTCTCTGAGCAATACATATTTCATATCTCCTATTCAATGGGAATAGCATAAAAATTATAACAGATACAGTACATTCCATAACCTGCATCCATAACCTGCATTATTGGCCGTTATTACCAGGCAACTCAATAAACTAAACTAGAGAAATGCATCAGTCTTATAGATAGCCTTAAAAATTCATTTGACATAAGAGAATTTCCCCAAGAGGTCTCCTCTTGAAAGTGAATCCAAGTTGTTCCCCAAAACTCCACTACTTGTTCTACAGCAGTTTGCTAAAGGGATCAATATTTTTTCTCAGTGTGTCTTCAGGTTGACTTGTTGTTGTTGACCCCACACTCCTCTTTCCACTGTCTTCTCCTAAGTAGATCCCAGAGTCATGACTGGAGCTGCCTTGTCCTCTCTGGATGGAGGAGGAGCCACTGTCCTGCTCTGCCTCAACATCTCTCTGACCCTTGACCTGTTGTTGTTGACCCTGGCTTGTCTGCTCTACCTGTACAGCCACCACAGCCGTGGCCACACAGCTCTCCTCCCGAGGCAGGAGAAGGAACATTTGATCCTGTGTGTTATGCAGTATACTGCTAGGAAATGTGTACTTTGAGACAATACTTTTTCTCTTTTTGTAGCGTCTGCAGATGGGCACTGTCATCAGTGTGACACAGCACAGCAGAGCCAGCAACACCTGCCACACCGGAGGGTGTCCTTAGAGGGACAAACAGAGCAGGCGTCAATACAGATGTTAAGCGCAAATGTGAAAGATCCCTTTTTCAGGGACACTGTGGATTGAAATGTAATGGTGTGTAAATGGCTCACTTTTACCCAGGGTCCTCACACACTGTTGCGGTGTGTAGGGGCTGGTCTTATTGGACAGTTTGATGAATGCGCTGACCTGCATGCAGTACTCTGTCCAGGGCTTCAGAAAGAACAGTGTTCTCTCTTCGGTGTCAAAAACGTTCTCTTGTTTCTGTATGATGGAGACAACAAAGGGCACCAGTGAGACAGATGAATAGTGTGGGTACTTGAGTTGAGGGTTTTGAAAAAACAAAAGGTGTGACATTGGTTGATAAAGCAGTGAGCTCTACTTTCTTCAGATATCTCAACCAAAAAAAACATCAAAACATTTCTCTACGCCAAAGATCAAAATCAAGTTGGACCCTAGACTTAAGCATACATCAAATATGAAGGAGCTTATTATATGGTAATCATGAGTAAATACTGTATGTATGTAACAGAGGGGTTAAGAGAGAAAACCACCAGCTCCTTCACTTTATACATCCTGTTTCCTGCCCTTCTTCTTCTCGCTCTTTTCTAGGTCACATGGCCCAACCACACAACATGGGACAATAACACAAGTGAGTCACTTGAGGATAGGCATTGAAGAGTGAACAAAGAAGAAATGGAAACCTCAATGACTTTTCTTCATCTTTGCAGGCTTCAAATACACCAAAAACGTGTTTGATCTGGCAACCCCCTCCCACCCCCGGTCTCTTATCACAGTATATCCAGCTGCTAGACTTCAAAGAGAGTACAGCACCCGTTTGTTTTATAATTGTTTTGGAGGATTTTATGTTATGAGAAAGGTCAGTGGAGTGGCGTTATTTGCTTGTGCACATGACATTTGTCTGGCCCTCTGCTGATGCTTCCTAAAGAGTTGTTCACTGCGGTTTGCCCGTTATTCCCATCTTAACCAAACTCCTACCACCACTCTATTTGTGAATCATCACTACTATTTATCCATAAAAGCCTAGCTGTTGAAGTGAGTCCTGACCTTGCTGGGTGGATGTTTCTCCCAATACTGCAGACTGAAGGACATGGAGTCCAACATGGACCTCATTGTGTGGTCCTGCTCCTTCATTGGCTTCCTGAAGCTCACTGTTACCATGGCGTCCCCTGGATCTAACGCCACATGGGACGGGGGGCCTAGGGCCGCTGTAACACAGGAACACACATTGCTGTCATGGCTACATCCCAGCCTTCACTACAACAACCTATGGCACTTGAGCGCATGCTGTTTTTAGTCTGTAGGCTAGCAATGTTCCACTTACAGACATGATTAAAATCATCAACAAACTATTTTAGACCACAGTTATTTGAATCAGGTGTGTTTTATGAATCGCGTGTAGCTCAGTTGGTAGAGCATGGCACTTGCAACGCCAGGGTTGTGGGTTTGATTCCCACATTGGACAAGTCTGAAAAAAGTCTGAAAATGTATGCACCTACTACTATAAGTTTGCCTGGATAAGAGTGTCTACTAAAATGTGTTGGAGCTGGGCTGAAACAAAAGCTTGCACACAGCCACACAGTGTCCAGATACGGATGTTGTTGGCCTCACCATCTTCATCAGGAACGAACTTCAGACAGGACCAGTTTGACATCTGACCCCTGCCCTCGGCCCTCACTCTCAGTATGTATGACCCAACGTAGAGGTCCAGCTCCCTAGAGAAGTCACACCTCTCCTCAGTTATCCTGATACATTTCCCTGAGTAGGATCCCTCGTCAAACCGTTGATTAGAACTATGAGGAGAGACAGAGAGGACAAAAGGCTAGCTTGTTGGTGGGGTCCGTTCAAGTACCAGACAGCATGCTTGAAGGAGAGTGAATGTCTTTTTTACTGAAATAAAAATGTACCCTTTATTGTCCTGGAGTAAGAAAGGCTCTTGGTACTCACAATGTGTATTGTGCGGTGAACGTGACGTTGTGATTGGCCAGGGAGTGATTCCAGTCCCATCTCATTATGTATTGAGTGTTCACTGCATCCATCTTCACGTTATGAGGACTAGGCAGCACAGTGAACTCTGAGGGAAACACAACACCAGAATCATGTCAGAATTCAGATGTTCTTTAGTATCACAGCAATGTTGATGTTATAGCGAAGTTTTAGCAGAGGTGGAGGACAACAAAGCCATTACACCAACATCTAGGCCTGCTGAGACAGGATATATTAAATCACTTTCAGCACACACCTTTGCCTAGACCAGACAGTTTACTGACATGTAGCACAGGATGTTGAGAAAGAAAAGGAAATCACAGCAGGCTGAAGATGTCTTGTTCTGTACATCATTTTTAAACCCGTGTGGCTGTTAGCTTTCTAAATGAAAAGTAGACTGCAAACAATATTGTTTAAATGAAAAAAGGCAATAGATTTTGATAGCCTACTCATCCTAAATCTGCAAAGATCCGTACAGTACAGAGAATACACAATGACTATACACGATCAATATTGCAAACTTTTAGATTAACCTGTAACCCTTGTAGAGGTGTGATTTATTTTAATCAAACGTCTATTCACCGCTCAATCATTGTAAAAGAAGCCTCATAAAGCAGTCTATCGTTTCGTTTTCATTTTGAATTAAAATACTTACCGGAGTATGCAAGGAGGAAAACTGGCCAAGGAAATAGGCGTAATAGCATATTTAATCCCTGATCTTGATTGCCTCCCTCCGCTCTATTTCCACATCGACCCTTCAGTCTCCGCGACAAAAAGACGTCTAAAAAATGCGCGGAATTGTGTTGCTGTTCTCATTCTCATCATACCCTACGCACACGGAAGCGTGTGTTCACGATCGAACTCCTTCCTCAGTATAATTCTAGAAGAAACTAACCACACACACACAGGAAATCAAAAGGTAGTCACTGTCTGGAAGCAGCAGCACGCACTCGCAAAGCCACAAGTGGCCGTTACTCATATATATTTAAAAAAGTTAATCACAAATGTAACAGAGGTCAAGTTCACAGCATGCAACATCAATTAATCAGTATGCAATTAAACACTTAGGCAAGGCGTATGAGGTGACAGATAATTACTTTAATATGAATGAAACTCCATTTGGATGCAATAATACAGCATGTTCAGTATTGTACAGTATGACCAAAGATATAAATGAAGACAACCATTGTTTGTTTTGTGCACACTATTCACCAGGACTACTTGGATCCTCGTGATTGTATTGTCCTTCCTTTTTAGACCAAATAGGCCTAATAAAATACTGTAATGACCCAGCTGGGTCATAAAGTAAAAGAGAGACGGGCACCAGGTGTACAGGCAGAACACAGGTTTATTCCTGAATGGGCTATTGTTCAGGCCACAGCCCACGCCGCTAAACCTCGAACATACACAAATATAACATGTCAAATCAAGGGTCCCGAACAGAAGAGAGAGAGATGAGACCGTAACCCCTATTTAAGCATTCCAAAACCCCGCGGGATTACCCATCATACCCCCCCAACCTTTCCATCTGTCCTGGCATATTTAACCCCTGCTAGCACCCATGAGGACGATAACACACCCATGAACACAGAACACAATACAGGGTCGTTACAATACTTCAAATGGTAGGCTAACCGCTGTCTGGGTCTCTCTTGCTCTCTCTGTGGTGACTTAAAGAAGAGTAAAGTTAAGGCCTCAACATCATGCTGAATTTATCTGAACTAATATCTATCTGAATTTCTGTCGCTGTCCATTTCGAAATTGCTGAAAAAAATAGGCCTACCTCATCGCAGCTCGTTTGCTTGCACGCACTTGCATATTCTTAAGAGCTAAGTGTTAATTATATATGAACAAACATTGTGAATTTACTGAACATAAATGTAATAATGTATGGTTCAAAAGTCAAACTCATGTTATTGAAGGAGAATGAGGTTCTTATCCAGTTACACAAATCCACAAGGAGTAAGTAGAAACCATATTTATTTAAGCAAGTCAGCCATACGCTCCACTCTCGGGACAGCTTTATGTAGACCCTAACCGTTCGTGGGCACCGTTTGTCACCGTCAGTGGCGACCCCTCATTCAGGGCAGCTGTTTTGAGCCCCACATTTTTAGCTAAAATAAAATATTTTATAAAAAAAACATTTGGGGGGGGGGGGGGGGGGCCTTGCCTGTTTTACATGTTATTTTGGCATTAATACGTGTCACATATCAGTTTTCAAACAATGTAAACATTGTTTTGTATCAATGAGTTAATAAAGCGGCATTCAAACATGGTCTCCTTTTTGCTTCCTTGAGTAAGGCAGCTCCAAAATGCAGGTGTTTCAGCCTAGATCAGTGCTTCTGTGGTGGTAGTGGGGCAGCCAGCGGAAAATACAGAGCATAGGGGTTGGTAATGTTCTCTAGTTGCGCCGTGATTGGCTCAGTGTTCTGTCACTCATGGGGACACTAAATCACCGCCAAGTCTAAGGGTAGAGCTCGAAAATTCAAGCCCCTTGGGTGTTGCCATAGTTACATTAGAAGTGCCCATCCAAGTCCCCTGTAGCTCAGTTGGTAGAGCATGGTGCTTGCAACGCCAGGGTTGTGGGTTCGTTTCCCACGGGGGGCCAGTATGAAAAATGTATGCACTCACTAACTGTAAGTCGCTCTGGATAAGAGCGTCTGCTAAATGACTAAAATGTAAATGTAAGAAGGCTCAAGGTCATTGGCCACAGATAAAATGACGTCAAATCACGTTATATCTACAGTAGCTTTGATTGGACTGATCATGTCAACATCATCCTTTCAAAATCTTAGCTAGCAGTCATCATCATGAATCAAGTCGACAATCTACTGGCAAATCCTTTTTAATCCTTGTCATATGAAGAGCAATAACGAAGAGAAATTATAGAGAAAACGTATCGGTGCTCATCAGCCATTGGACATAAACATTACACAACAAGTTGGAAATCGCAAATTCAATAATGAGTGGTTTGGAAGGAATCAGTGGCTAACTGCAAGCATTGCAAAGCAATCACTAACCTGCTATTCAGTGAAGTGGCTGTGTGGTCCCGAGTCTGGGATTAAGGGACTCTTTTCCAAGCTTAAAATGATAAACATTCAACATTGGCCATGCTGCCAATGAAGCATGATTTGTTCCCATTTGTGAACTGGGAAATCTGACTTCAGTGAGTTTAAGACAACTTGGAACTTGGGGAAAAAACAAGCTCAGACTGGGAAAACACGTTTTGAACGGTCATCCAACTCTGAATTGTAAAATCGGGAACTCGGGCCTCTTTCTAGAACTCCGACCTGAAGATCACGGACTCATCATAATTTGACCTTGTTTTTTCAGAGTTCCCAGTAGTCTTGAAAGCACCATAAATCCAGAGAATGCCAGACTTTGATGACAAAGTTTGATGACAAAATTTGCCCATGAAGGACTGCCACACCACCTTCCTATTCAAGGTGAGTCCAAAAATGTATTGTATGCTGTTACATAAATTATGTAATATGCCAGGGAGATATGTATACTGTAGCTAAGAAAGTAATACACGTATGTTGTGTAGGAAGCTGTTAGTAGCCCATGTGCCTCACCCTAATAATTTGGTCTATTTTCCCCTCTTCATTTCGGCTTCTGTTCTGACTTGGTGGTACACATGTAGCCTATAACCTGTTTTAGAGAAATGTAATCATTGAATATTGTAAGAGCTTTCATTGTCTGCTTATATGCCCCCTTTATTTATGCTACGGTTCTGACTTGGTTACAGGGAGAACACAGTAAGAACAGCCCATTTTCTGAATTCTGTCGCTGTACATTTCTAAAGTGTATATTGACTACGTCCGTCCTAGTGCGCTCATTAATGTCTTAATCGAAATTACAGATTGCCTCTTATCCGCTTGTCGTCCCCTTATGCCATAGTTTGTACATCTCAATTGTCAGTAGAAACCACATTTGTTTAAGCAAGTCAGTCATATCAGCTATGTTTTTTTAAAAGGCAGTAAATGAGGCTGAATGAACTGTTTCACTGCGAGACAAGGCTCCGCTGATAGCCAGGTGTAGCAGTGGTAAGGTGTTGAGACTGCTGTTGGGACAGCTTTATGTAGGCCCTAGCAGTTTGTGGGCACCGTTTGTCACCGTTATAGTGCAATTAATGTATTGTTTAGTGTTGTGTTGTGTAGTGGCTTTGCTGGCATGCATCCCACATCTATTATTATTTTTGCCCCACCAAGATTTACAGTGGGGAGAACAAGTATTTGATACACTGCCGATTTTGCAGGTTTTACTACTTACAAAGCATGTAGAGGTCTGTAATTTTTATCATATGTACACTTCAATTGTGAGAGACGGAATCTAAAACAAAAATCCAGAAAATCACATTGTATAATTTTTAAGTAATTAATTTGAATTTTATTGCATGACATAAGTATTTGATACATCAGAAAAGCAGAACTTAATATTTGGTACAGAAACCTTTGTTTGCAATTACAGAGATCATACGTTTCCTGTAGGTCTTGAACAGGTTTGCACACACTGCAGCAGGGATTTTGGCCCACTCCTCCATACAGACCTTCTCCAGATCCTTCAGGTTTCGGGGCTGTCGCTGGGCAATACGGACTTTCAGCTCCCTCCAAAGATTTTCTATTGGGTTCAGGTCTGGAGACTGGCTAGGCCACTCCAGGACCTTGAGATGCTTCTTACGGAGCCACTCCTTAGTTGCCCTGACTGTGTGTTTCGGGTCGTTGTCATGCTGGAAGACCCAGCCACGACCCATCTTCAATGCTCTTACTGAGGGAAGGAGGTTGTTGGCCAAGATCTCGCGATACATGGCCCCATCCATCCTCCCCTCAATACGGTGCAGTCGTCCTGTCCCCTTTGCAGAAAAGCATCCCCAAAGAATGATGTTTCCACCTCCATGCTTCACGGTTGGGATGGTGTTCTTGGGGTTGTACTCATCCTTCTTCTTCCTCCAAACACGGCGAGTGGAGTTTAGACCAAAAAGCTCTATTTTTGTCTCATCAGACCACATGACCTTCTCCCATTCCTCCTCTGGATCATCCAGATGGTCATTGGCAAACTTCAGACGGGCCTGGACATGCGCTGGCTTGAGCAGGGGGACCTTGCGTGCGCTGCAGGATTTTAATCCATGACGGCGTAGTGTGTTACTAATGGTTTTCTTTGAGACTGTGGTCCCAGCTCTCTTCAGGTCATTCACCAGGTCCTGCCGTGTAGTTCTGGGCTGATCCCTCACCTTCCTCATGATCATTGATGCCCCACGAGGTGAGATCTTGCATGGAGCCCCAGACCGAGGGTGATTGACCGTCATCTTGAACTTCTTCCATTTTCTAATAATCGCACCAACAGTTGTTGCCTTCTCACCAAGCTGCTTGCCTATTGTCCTGTAGCCCATCCCAGCCTTGTGCAGGTCGACAATTGTGTCCCTGATGTCCTTACACAGCTCTCTGGTCTTGGCCATTGTGGAGAGGTTGGAGTCTGTTTGAGTGTGTGGACAGGTGTCTTTTATACAGGTAACGAGTTCAAACAGGTGCAGTTAATACAGGTAATGAGTGGAGAACAGGAGGGCTTCTTAAAGAAAAACTAACAGGTCTGTGAGAGCCGGAATTCTTACTGGTTGGTAGGTGATCAAATACTCATGTCATGCAATAAAATGCAAATTAATTACTTAAAAATCATACAATGTGATTTTCTGGATTTTTGTAAGTAGGAAAACCTGCAAAATCGGCAGTGTATCAAATACTTGTTCTCCCCACTGTACATGCTAAAATCGCCACTGTAGACAATATACAGACGCACTGACAGCATTGTGCAAACCAAACAACCCTCACAATATGAACTGGAATTACATGGTTCTATTAATGAACTTTTTGATGAACAAAAATATTTGAATTGGAAGAGACC